TGGGATGGGGCCTTAAAATTCCCCACTTCTTTGACATGCTTGAACTCAGTCCCTCAAGAAGTTATGAGTGTGGGCTTGCTCAAAATGGCAGGCAGGGCAGCTTAGAGACGAACTTCTGGTAGGTTGGCAAATGTCCATGTTTCCAGAATCCATGACCACCAATGCAAGTTTGCCAAGGTCCATGTGAGTTCTCATAGAGGCCCTGAGGAGAAACAGGAGCCCAGAATGAATATGGGGTTTGTGTTGGGGTCCTCAGGGCTCAAAGACAGGATGCAACCTGGGGTGTACTGAAACCCATGCGAACAAGGCAAGAGAACCTGAACCTTGCTCTTCTATGGACATGTGGTATAGCTGGAGAGCTTCTCTCCAGGTCCCACCAAGCTCCAGCAATCCAACATACCACTTGTAAAATAAACACACAGATGCTTATATTATTTAAACTGTTTGGCCTAATGGCTCAGGCTTCTAGCTATTTAGCTCTTACATCTTAAATTAATCCATTTCTATAAATCTATACCTTGCCACATGGCTCATGGCTTACCGGCATCTTCACATGCTCCTTGTCATGGCGGAAGCGGCTGGCAGTGTCTCCCTCCTCCTTTGTGTTCTCTCAATTCTTCTCTCTGTTATTCCCACCTATACTTCCTGCCTTGCCACTGGCCAATCAGTGTTTTATTTATTGACCAATCAGAGCACATACAGACCATCTCACAGTAATGTGGAGTCACCTGGAATAAGTGCCTTATGTTCCCTGCAAAACTCTTGGCCTGTTTTTCCTCCTTTGCAAAGTGACTGGATTGTTTTGTGTTAGTCTTTCTGAAGAGCCCACCCCACTTATTAAATTTCATGTCTCTTGTATATACTCTTTGTTGTTATGGAACTCTTACTTTTCTGTATCCTGCCCTGCCATGCTGGGCATGAAACTAGCCTTATCCATGCATGCTGGATAAGTAATCCACCATGGAGCCACATCCCCAGCCAGGATTCAAGTATGCTTCTTGCACAAAGCACAATTCTGTCGTTTTGGACTTTTTATTGGGCAAAACTCTCTCTCAAGTCTAGCCAGTGGCAAGATAGGTCAAGCAGGATAGGACTACTGGTTTGACTCCCTTCTTGACAAAAGACCATGAACTTGTGATTTCCTTTCCTTCAGCTCTCTGGATGGGTCCAACATCTCACCAAGAAAGAATTTTTTGGGGCAAGTGCTTAGATGCTGACATCTCTGTGTGCATCAGAGAGACAGCTACTGTCCCTTTACATGCAATGAATGAACATTCCCACAGGCAGGCCCTCACAGTGACTGGTTGCTTGGGTTATCATAAAGGCAGAATAGGGGACATAAAGAACGAGGCTTGAGAGGAGGGGAGTCAATTATGTTTCCTCAGAATAGGTGGCTGGCCCCCAGCCACACCTGGAAAGCCATGTTAGTGATGAGCCCATGACGACAAGAGATGAGACCCCATCACTCTGGTCTTTGAGACACTTGCTGTGGTCCCTGTCTTTGTTTGTCTCAGCTGTCTTTTCAGTCAGTCTCCAGGAGAAGATCCTTGTTCTTAATTCCCAAAATGGATTCAGGCAGGGGCTGGTTTTAGATAAGATTTCTAGAACCAGGAAGCTTGGCTGGTAGACTAGGCTCATGTTCTAGCTCTTAGTGCATGCAAGCCTCAGGCATCCCCAGCATACCAAGAGAGCAAAATGACAATTCCATTACCCATAGTCTCTCTACAATAACCTTTACTTATGACATCTGGTGTGGGGTCTTCCTTTGCTCCATGGTCTACCTTTTCCATCCTCTGATATTGTAGTGTCTCTGGCTTGTATCATCACAAGGGTGGTGACCAAAGGTGATGACAGGTTGTGTCATGTCAAGTGGGCCACATGGAGTGGCCCCAAGGTGAGACTTGATGCTTTGTGTTGTTTTGAGCCCCTCACCTAATGTAACATTCCAAGTATTTTCTCCAGGTCTTTGTT